TATTGGATTTGGACACGGAGAAAACCCGCGAAACGGATAACTTTCATACAGAAAGCACCCATGGAAACCTCAAGAAGATAATATATATACATTATTATCTGCACATTGCTTCAATATCGATGTATGTCGAAGTCATTGAATATATAAGTTACTAATATCATAAACAGATTTGTGTGATTTTGCTGAGATGCTCTTTGTTATCTAGGATCAAGCATTAATATGCAGTTTATAACACAGAACTTTTTAATCACAGCTTCAATTTATGACTAAACTTCGAACTTGCATATTTTAGAAAATTGTTGTTCGATAACAATGCATTTCCTAATCTTTTTACTACCAATTCTTTCCTACTGTGAGATTTCTGTTAATTTTTATAACATCTAATATATCCGATGAAAATAAGTATCCTTCACTATAATAAATGACGATAAATGACTTTGCAAATTGCTTTGATACTATACAGTTAAAGTGTCCTCTTCGCTTATTCCACGCAGTTCCACACAGTATCTGGAGTGATCTACATGCAGCTTTTACGAAGTATGCACGGAGTCTTTTTATTGAATTTTATACATAATTTGCATACAATTTTGCACAATCTTATACAATTCAGATAGAATTTTGTGCAGGAAAAACTTTTGTATGAAGTTTGCATAGTTTCATAATTAAATTTGAGTTTTATACAAAATTGTAGAAGATTTCATGCGGTTTGCATAAAAATGGCGATATTGTACGAATGCGCCCTTTTGGACACGCTCGTGATATTCTCGTCGCTATTCGCGACGCTTTACTTATGGATGAAATGGAAGCATACCTATTGGCAGAGACATGGTGTACCTACGTTACCTGCACATTGGTTCTTCGGTCACTTCAAGGACGCGATGCTGTTCCGCAGATCGGCTGGAGTGGTTCTGAGTGAACTGCACAAGCAAGCTGAGAACGAAGATGTCCTAGGAATCTACGTCCTACATAAGCCATTTTTGATTCTAAGAAATCCCGAACTGATAAAGCAGATAATGATAAAGGACTTTAATATATTTCCGAATCATTATTTTAGGGGAGCAAACAATTCCGATACTATTAGCAAATGGAGTCTCTTCTCGATACGTTATCCCGAGTGGAAGTATTTGAGGTAAACAGTATATGTTACATAAACCATAGTCAATCATTTGAAAGAATATACTATTAAGTTATCTTGCAAACTCTTCGGAGTCATTTTGCAAATAGACTTGAAGAATGTTATTAAACTAGTTGAAAAATGTTATTAAAAAAGGATAAAAAATAAAAAATAATCTAAGATCTTTAATAAACGTATATATACAAACGTTTCGACACCGATCGGGTCATTTTCAATGTAAAATAACAAACACTCTTACATACATTATCAGAAAATTCGGTTAAATTATATTGTCCAGTGAAAAATTAGTTGTATTCATAAAATGCGGTCCATATGTAAAACTATCAAAAGAGATCAAATCTCACTTTTCGCAATTCTACAATCTGAATAATAAATAATACATTAACATTGCGTTATGGATTAAATTATTGATGTACATTTTTAGTAAATTAGATTAGAATGCAAATTAAATAAAACATATATACCTCATATTATCTCAATGATGTAATTTGCATTCTAATCTAATTTACTAAAAATGTACATCGATAATTTAATCTATAACGCAATGTTAATGTATTATTTATTATTCAGATTGTAGAATTGCGAAAAGTGAGATTTGATCTCTTTTGATAGTTTTACATATGGACCGCATTTTATGAATACAACTAATTTTTCACTGGACAATATAATTTGACCGAATTTTCTGATAATGTATGTAAGAGTGTTATTTTATATTGAAAATGACCCGATCGGTGTCGAAACGTTTGTATATATACGTTTATTAAAAATCTTATATTATAATTGGCTCGTTGCCCTTATTTTATTTATTGATTTATTCTAATTGAGCCATATTAACATTTATTTAAAAAATAATCTAATAAAGAATCTAAAATATATCAGGACATGTATATAGATTGAAAAATATTATTGAAAAAGTTACCAAAAGACTGTTTCTTGTTCAGATCGAAAATGACACCGGTATTCACGAGCGGCAAGCTGAAAAGTCTTTTTCAGCTGATGCAAGAATCCGGAGAAAAGATGAGAGACCATTTGCACGATCAAATTAAGGACAATTCCAAAATCGTGCCAATAAAGGCCAAAGATATATTCTACAAATATACCACCGACGTGATATCCTCCGTGGCGTTTGGAATTCGGACAAACTGCTTTGATACACCATCACCAGAATTTTATGTCAACTGTGAGTAAAATAATAAATATAAGTAATAAATATAAGAATTTAAACATGCTATATACATTACACTTCGCTCTTTTCCATCTACATCGAACTTTTTATGCAACGTATACTTTATTCGTTTCTTTATATAGCACGTAAAGCTTTCGTCCAGACGATCCTAAGGACCTTGCAGCTCTTTTTCTTATTCTTCTTGCCAACAATCGGAAAGTATCTAGGTGGCTCAATGCTTGGCAGGTACACGGGTTACTTTCGTAAAGTCTTTTGGGACTCTATGGACAATAGAAGCGTCACAAAAATAAAACGAGGAGATCTAATCGATTCTCTTTTGCAATTAAAAAATGAGACACCAGATAATATGAATGTTCGTAAGTATCTAATATGTATACATATATATATGTAGCGTTAAATATGATCTAAATCCCACTATAAAACTAAAATAGCGTTTTACAATTCTAATATAAGATGAAATTAATCGAATGTATTTAACACTTAAAATTTCAAATTTCCTTTTAACCTTATTATAAGTGAATCTTCATCCACAATTGAAGTTTATCATATATAATAATTACTAGTAAAAAAATTTATGTAACACACATTTTTAATGCGAGATTTAATCAATCATATATTTTTTTTTTATCACTCTGCACAAACACACGCACATACACACACATAAATGGCATTCCAATATTGGCAATTTATATCAAAAGAAAAATCTATTTTTACTGTCTATCTATCTATCTATCTATTTTCTTCAGGGTTCGCTCTTCTCGCACAAGCGGCGATCTTCTTTGTGGCTGGTCGCGAAACCAGCATCACTACTATGACTTGCGTTCTCTTCGAATTGGCCAAACAGCCGGAAATGCAGAGACGCGTGAGGGAGGAGATCCTCAAGACAATTCAGGACGCTAACGATGTAACGTACGAAGCGGTCCACAATATGAAGTATCTGCATCAAGTGATAAATGAAACGCTAAGACTTTATCCGCCCGCGCCGATCATAGACCGATTTCCTCTTAGAGATTACACAGTGAGACATAGTATACATTATATTTCAGAAATTGTTTTCACCCTCAACAAAAAATTTTTCAATAAGCGATTTTTCAATCAATTTGAAATAGAGATTCAAAAATGTCTCGAATTAAAATATGAATTATAATCATAAGAGTAAATTGCAGTTTCCTGGCACAAAAATAACTGTCAAGAAAGACATACCGGTATACGTTGTATTACGTGGTATTCAATCTGATCCAAGATATTATCAAGATCCTATGCGTTTCGATCCCGAGCGATTCAGTGATGAGAGAAAAGACGAGATTGTACCCTGCACTTTCCTGCCCTTTGGAGAGGGTCCACGGAATTGTATAGGTTGGTAAATTAGACTCGTTCACATAAACAGATTTAAAATAGAATAGAAAAAAATAAAATTTGCTAGAAAAAGCAACATTTATCATTCCTTGACATTTATTACGCGATAAGATTTACTTGTCTATTGTTTTTGCGGAACAGAATCGCGTAATTAAAAAAATATACTTATTTAATGCTCTTCAAATATCATAAATCTCATTTAGAATTTTGATACTGCTTAAAAAAGTATTCACTAATATTTAAAATTTATAAATAAATAATTTTAATCGCACGCGCGCGCATGCGTCTTAATAAGTGAAGATTGAAGACCAATATTCAGCGATTTTTAGTAATTAATATCTTGTTAACTATTGCGAAAATTACAAAAATGCTAAAGGACTTTTCGACTCAGTTTTTTATTACGAATAGCACTGTATGATTAGTGTACGTTATTTCAGATACACCTTGTGTGTATATATATATATATATATATAGTATATATAAAAGAAAAGATTGTAATCCCCGTTTATAACTAAATTCTTCCTCGATTTTCTCTGATTTAATTCCACTTAAACATTAGGCATGCGGCTGGGAATTTTGCAAACCACTGTGGGACTGATAGCGATTTTGCGTAATTATGAGGTTGCATTGCACCCTTCATGGAAGGATCCCATCGATCCGCGAAACGTATTTATTTCGCCACCAACAGAATTCTTGCTGAACTTCAAGAAGATATGATGCATTAGTAATATGCAACAATAGGTATATGATCATTGCAATTTTTGTTTTTATCATTTTAGAATATGTATATGAGCATTAGAAATTATTTTGATTAATGAATATGTTAGTAGGGCATGAGTAACTCTCTATGATGGAAGTATAATCGCTGTGGTTATTAACAAATTTCTTATGTAAAATCATCTTCTATACAATTTATAATAATTATATTAATCTATGTGGCTATACTTTCTAGAAAATAAAAATTTTGAATTATGTTTAAAAAGCATTAATCGACAAACTTCCCTTTTACAAAACATCCATCGAAATATCCTCTTCATAAAATCATGTAAATTTTGACATAAAATATTAACAAATGAAATTTGTTATATATACATGTATAAAACTAAATTTATCGATCAGTTAATTGACTGTTTTCTGTAAAAGAAATTTTTATTTCAGCTCTTCAATAATGTGATTATGAATTTGCTATGTACACTATTGTATGTATCTCACATATTTTAATGAACGAATTTGCTATGTACACTATTGTATGTATGTACCTCACGAATTTTAACGAACCAATGACATGTGCTCGTTTGCAAATTTAATTATAATTAAAATTTTATCCTCAGTCTTCCTACTTGGGCAGTAGCGCCAGATATTTCTTGAATTCTGGAAGTACACACTCTCGCGGATTGAGCGGCGTCACTGCGGTTAAATAATCGCTGAGATATTGCGGCAAAAAACAGAGGATGCCTTTGCTAGCCAGCATAGCCCAGTCTACAGGCTGGTTTACCTGTTTATAATAAAATTATTTGAGCGCTTCGATAATGTGATTATAAATTCACTATGTATACTATTTTGTGTATGTGTGTGTGATGTATTTTAGTAACGATATATTGAGTACATACTGAGTAAGTATATTATACTTGTTTTCAAATTTAATCACAATTTTGATCTCAAAGTCTACTTATTTTTCCAAATTAATTATATATTAAAGTATATATAAAAACACACAGTTATAAATTCTCTGCAATATTACAAGCATTTTCTCACCATTTTGTTCCAATTTTTGTTATTAAAAAATAAATTATTTTAATTACACATACATGTAATGTAAACAATTAATAAAGTGAAAAAATTCCTGAAGCGTAGAGAAGCTATTAACTGAGTTGCATTATATTTTGAAAGATATATTCTAAGAAGTAAAACATAGCTTACCTGTTTCACATTAACGAAACAATGTGTGATTCTGCGACCAGACGGACTGGCATCGTAAGGCGGTCTACAATCAAATCGAAAAAATCAGAATAACAAATAATAAAACTGTTCTCTTTTCTGTAGAAATTGATTAATACGCACTTTGCTTGCATGACTAAACCGCCGCCAGCTTCGATCAGTCTCTTAAATTGATCATATTTCTCTTCTGAGACCATCAGCAGAGCTACCATGTTGGAAAATGGGCCATACAACTCTTTCTGCAATTTCAATCGCCATTTGTAAACCGCAGCCCCGATTGCATTCTCGAGCTCGCTATTTGGTTCTGGAATCTTGTTTTTATTCTTTGGATTGCCCCATTCGTATTCTTCCTCCTACGAAAATTTTATTCGCAGTTAACATCGTGAAAACGTAAACACAATGCAAATAACGATGCAATCAAATCTTTTTTAATTTTTCTTACGATTTTTTAAATTAGAAGAAAAATTAGCTAAGTATCGGAATATTAGTTTCTCCTGATATATCCTTGTTATACTTGACAAATATACTAACGTCGAGGAATCTGCCTTCTCGTTTGGAATCCTGTAGATACGAGCAATGCAGGATCCACTTTCCAGAAGCTATGCTACTAAGCATTTTTTCGTTTCTGGAGAGTCTGATGCATAGAAGATGTGTGGCACTGCTATCAAAATTTGCGTCTGTAGACACATCTCCACCCAAATCTTTTATCACTTGTTCGTACGCAATTTTATCCTATTAAAATATTATAATACGTCAAAATAATGATTACAATATCAAAAAAACAGTATCGTTATGCTTGACAACAATAATACCTTTATACCCGACAGCATAAATTTTCGTGTTGTCGATGGTTCACATTCTATGGCGTCTTCATCGATATGTTCTTCGTGAATCACATTGCTATTATCGTTACTTGACCGTTTATCCAAGATTGACTATGAAAAAACAAATACTGTACAAGATAATACATAAAAATATAAAATAAGATGCACAAACATTAATATACATAAAAAATAGTGGCTATAAAATCTGCAAAAAATAAAAAAAATTAAATTTATATCATAACAAACATCCTTATATCAAAATTTAACTCAATCCGATAAAATAGTTAAGATAATATGATAAACTTTCTGTGCTTAAAAATTTTATCAGCTTGATATAAACATCAATTTCATGTTTTTTATGGTTTTCTACATGTTTTTCTCACGTTTTATTTCTTAATTCATAGAAAGAATATTAAAATCTTGAATTATATATTTGTTTTGAGTTAATGCAGGTGTCAAAACTAAAGCTCAATCTTCGAAAATATAATATAAAAGTCATTTGAAAAGAAAAATCATTGCATACTCGTTTTGGATGATCCGGATCCTCCCATACAATGGCGTCGATAGCTTGCGAATCCTTTACTATACCTACGTTTGTAAAATGATTATTAAAATATTGTACAAAATAATTTATTAAAATTATTAAATTATAGACTTATCAAAACATTGTACAAAAATTGCAAATATCGACTGAGCGATATAATTTAAAGATACTCACATTTTTGTATATGATCGGAAGTTTCATTGTACTTCTTCGCATTTTCTCCGGATAGCGAGTATCTATTTTCAGGAGTACTGGACGTTCGTTGAAGCACTTGATCCAATTGCGCTATTTGCCTATTCATTAAAAAATCCAAATTCACTCTGATCAATATTAGTAATATATAGAATAACATATCATAGAGAAAAGGTATCTCTTTTTTAAAAGTATTTATCACAAGTATTATGTTCACAAAGTATCCTATACAACTTTCATTTCTGAAATATTTTCATCTTATTATAGTATGTATATATTTTTATCATAATATTCTATTTCATTAAGAGACACATACATGTTTATTTCTTTTGATATTGGGCTACTTTTTTCGTCGAAGTCGAGTTTTCGATTGATGGATGGGACAAGAGTTGGAGTAGTTTTGTTAGACTCCTCTTCAGCTCCTTCCGAAAAAGAATTATTATCATCATCGTGTCTCATTGATTGATCTGATTCATGTTCCTAGTAGTTAAAAATACAAATCAATCTTGGATAAACATAATTATGAGGTATTCTAATATTCTTAAAAGCCGAATATTGAAAGCAGTAACTATTGTAAAATCGTTAGAAAACGTTGAATGTTACAAAAGATTATTATGAAAGATTAATTACAGTCTGTTCAATAAGAACGTTGCTGTTTCGGTATGTACGGGCTGTTTCTCCTTAGATCGCCAACCGTATTCGGAATCAAGCAATCGTTGTCTAATAGCATTAAAGCTCACATCTATATCCTTTTTCAATAAAAGATTTTTCGCTCGTCGTAATGAACACCCAGGATTCTTCTCAAATATCTTGATGATAGCTTTGTCGTCCTTTTTCGTCGTTGACCGTCGGGTGTCACGTTCCGGCAGGTCGTCGACATTTTTTGTTTCGTTGTAACGTTTCACCCACTTCCTGACGAATCCTGACTTTTTCATGTAGCACCCGGCAGCTGCATACGACATTTTCGGTCCTTTCGGATGTGTGCAAAGGAACACTGCTTCAAAACGACTTGCATACGCAGCACTCATTGTGATTATTTGCTCTATTACAATCAAAACAAGTCACACTATCCATATGACCTCAAATCATTCTTCCGAACTGTTCAGAGAATCGGAAAAACTAAACTTAACATCTGTGCGTCATCTATTAATGAAGTGCGGAACCGTACGCTCTTATTGAACAGACTGTATATCGCGATGTCGTTATACTACAAATGTACTCTATCTTCACACTAATATTCGTCGTAGTAACAAGATTACACGCGGCTCTTGAATATATTTGTCTTACTTTTTCAGATTGACCTGGATTCTTTAATTTCTCCCACAATTGTCTCTTCAATGCTGAAAGCGGCTGCAAATGGTCCTCAATTATCGCATATTGCTATAAGCGCTTAAACAGAAATAGTTTTTATACAAAAAGACGATACTCACAGTGCTAAGTGGGCGTCGTTTTAGCGGCGGTTCTTCTACTTGTAAATCAGGAAAATTTTCTGTCCATTTAATCCATCCTTTTCGAGTATCAGGAGAAGGATTAGGTTTAAAGACCTGTCCATATGGACTCTCCGGAGTGGACACGTGAAATGGTGACGGCGGTGTCTGGTTCATTACGAGACTGAGTCTTTTATTTATTAATGGAGTTTCGACGGAGAGTGCGTCCTACAAAATTTTGAAATTGTAATCCAAAATAAATCTTACAGTATATTTATGTTAAATGATTTTCCCAACAGCACAAAGTTGCACAAAAATTGCAGCAATACTGCATGTTGCAGCAATATTGCAGAGATTTTGCATTGCTGAAAATTCTGTGCTGTATGGATTTAAATTGCTCTTAATAAATCAAATTTTTACAAGCATGTTAAGTTCAGTTTACATTAACGTTGCATATCATAGGGTGCTTTCCAGCAAGGACATAGTCAGACACTGTGTAACAGTGAGTCGTTTCATTCTTGTTTAACGTTGGCAAATAACAAGGATGAAACTAAAGCACCCATATTCATTTGTTATTTATGTGTATTTATAGATAAAAAATATTATTAACTTTATATATATATATATCTTATAATAATACATACCTTGACCTGAGATAAATGACGTTTCGGTGTAATCATTCTTGATGTAATTTCTTCTGCTGGACTTGGTCTATTTTCGCCAGCAATTAAGAGATTTTCGCTAGTCGTTCTAACTGGTGCTTTAACACATATATATGTTAAAATTATATATAAGCATGGAAACAAAAATTTAAAAATTACATTAGTTTTCAAAATATTCTGACTCAAAAATTTTTAATTAAAATTTCGCACAAGGCGAGTATTTCGAATATTTTCTTAATCATCCATAACTTGAAAACTGTTGAAAATTAAGGTATGTAGGACATATGTTTATATAACGTTTTTTATTTATTTTAATATATTTACCTCCTAAAGTATTGACATGCATTTATGAAACACCCTGTATTTCCATTAATTTCACTATTTGAAAATGAATACTGGAGGAATTACGATGGTTCGAATTGGAAGAGAGAAGTAACTTTTATGGTTACAAATGTTAAGATGGTTAATCAGGCGATTTTTATTAGAAAAGAATGTCAATTCTTTTATAAAGAAAACTTTTAATTTTAATGAATTTTAACGTTTATTATATTTAAATATTTAACCATGTTTATATTTAATCAATGAAAAATATTGCGATCTTTTTACTTATAGTATTCTAAATTATTTGTTTAACAATGAGGATGACGAACATTTGGAAACAGATGGAAACATTTGTACTATTGTATGTTTAAATTGATTTGATAAATTTTAAAGTTAATAATTGTTTAATTATTAATACTATATACACTTTACATCTTGCGTAACTTTTCTTTTCTTGAAATTTTAACATTATTTTTCATTTTCTAAAAATATAAATTTAAAATAATAAATTATCTTTAATCACAACACAGAAAATTGAAATATATGATATTTCCATATACAGGGTGTCCGGAAAAGGGGTCAATACTTCGGAAAGTGATTCGGGATCTAAAAAGGAGGAAAAAAAGCTATATCAATATAGGTCTGGAAATAAGTAGTTTCCGAATTATAATCACTTTTATGTTAAAAAAAAATTGGTATTTATTCTTCATAATCACAATCGTAATTTATTTCATAGTGTTTAAACATAAATAATTACATTTCGGATTATTTGGCGTTAACCAGGATGCACCACGTGGAGGTATAGTCCGCTTGGCATCTCTCTGGTAAAGTAAGAAAAATTTTAAAATAAAGAAATAAGAAAAGAAGGATGCCAAGCGGATTATGCTTCCACGTATCCTGATCTGGTTAACGCCAAAATAGTCCGAAATGTAGTTATTTATGTTAAAACACTATGAAATAAATTACAATTGTAATTATAAAAAATAAATAATTTTTTTTAACATAAAAGTGATTATAACTCGGAAACGACTTATTTCCGGACCTATGTTTATACAGCTTTTTTCCTGCTTTTTGGGTCCCGAATTACTTCCCGAAGTATTGACCTCGATTTTCCGGACACCCTGTATAATGAAAAAGCTACCTGACATAAACTTTAAAGTTCGCAATCTAATTAAAAAAGCAAATAGAAAAAAATAAAAACAATTAATTAAATACAAATCAATTTACCTATTGTTTCTCCGACGAGAAACGGAGTTTCATCTACGAGCGTTAATTCATCGACGCAGGTTTTTAACCAGTCGGCTGTGACAGCCGGCAATTTCCATCTCACAGCCGCATTGTATTTGTTTCCTTCCGGGGACGGACAAACCAGATGCGTACTGCCATGTGTATTTTTCTCTACATTGGCTTTTCGCGCAAACATATCTTGACATCTGAAAATATTGAAAGAAATGCTTATTAAAATTTTCATTTTTAAGAAATTTTTTCATGTAAAATATAATATATGTATATATATATATATATATATTCACACATTATATATACATATGTACACGAGAGATGATAAGAGTATACATTACATAGCGCCAAGTTTCATAGCTAGTGTCGAAAGGTACATTCGTTCAGACCCAGTATACATGCTCATCGTTATGACGCATCCTGATAATGGATTACAAGGTTTTCTAATAGATAATGGCCTGTGATAATACATAATGTCCACAACTTCCTCCTGATTTATGCAATCTTCCTATTAATAAATAAAAAATTGACAATTTTAAATATCAGCGACAATAAGAAAAATTATGAATGGAATTTGTTTGTTATTAAAGAATAGATTTAAATTGCGAACTACGTAGAGAGTAGTAGTACGCAGAGGTGTCTTTCAAAACTGAAATATATGATAAATATTACATTCAAAATAACATACAAAATTATACTAAATTAAAAGAATGTATAATAAAAATATAATATGTATAAAATAAGTATAAAATCAAAATCTTCTAATCACACATAAAATTAATTATTTTTTAATAGTTGAAGATCTTAATTTCAAGAAAAAATTCATTCTTTTTATGCATTATCTAACATTCCAAAATCTCCTAACATATAATTTTTATTCTCTCTCTCTTAAGAAATAGATTTTAAACTTTTTAAAAATTAAGACTTAATGTATAAAAGATACCTACGATAAATAAATCGTTCACAATTTCATTAACTGTATATTTTAATAGTGATCCGTCCACAGGCACAATACCATAATCCGGGATACCGCTATAGGTTCTCGAGGCTAGGCGTCCACCCAACATTACGATTGTCTCCTCTATATGATTGTCCTCGCTATCAAAACCAGCCACGACGAACGTTAAACCTGCATGTAATATTTTACTATTGCATTCAGAAAAATTTGTATAGGTATACGGGTTATTAATATTTCCTCAAAAGATAAGATATCAATTATCAAAAAGAGATCTTTTTGATATTTTTGTCTCTTGAGAAAATGACCTTATTTATATATAAAAAATATTATTTTTTAAATCTATAAAAAAACATGCACTGGATAATAATACATAATACGAGAATGATTCAAATATGAACAAGACTTTTATATAACATTTATATAACTTTTATATAACATTATATAAAACATTTTTCTTGGGTATGATTTTCATTTTTAAGATATAAATTTTATTAAATACAAGAAATACCTAAATAAATTTTAAACTTTTTAAAAATGAGCAATTAATGTTTATATATAAAGGATAACCTACAATATTTACACACAAAAAATAATCATATTATAACCATCATCATATCTCTTTCTTTCTCATAAGGTTGATATTAAATCAGTTATTCTTGGCGTAAAACGCATTTCTTAATATCGACGTTAAAATTTCAACAATAGGAAGTTTGTTAATATCTACATGTATATAAATGCACGAGCATATTATTTTCCAGAGCAAAAATATGAAAGTTATAGTTGAACGCGAGCGTGGCATGGCAGATAGCGTATTGGTCTATCATGCCAGAAATCCCAGGTTCAATTCCAGTAGGAACCAAAATATTACGCTCGTGTCTTCTCTCAGAAAAGGCCGGCAACCTCCCGAGAGTATTCTTGCCCATAGAACACCTCTCGAAAAATCCGCCGTTCGGAAACGGCATTAAAAATTGTAGGTCCCATATGCTCGTGGCAATTGAATAATCAGCGTGTGCACCACAAGCATATGAAAGAGGTGTAACACAGGCCAGAGGCCTAACGTAAAAAGAAGAAAAAAAGAAATTTATTATTATTATTATACCTTTGAACAACTTTTCATTCACCGTGTAGCTTTGGCTCAGTAGCATAGTGTTATCATTTTCTACATTTTTTGTTGTATCCAACACACTGGTGTGCGCATTTTTCGCTTTACTCGAATTCCCTCGGTCTTTGTCTTTCGAAACAGGCGTAAGTGGTTTGATAAATTCATGTCTGACACTGCTACGATCTGTAATTTAATTATCCACAGTTAGAACGAGGCATTTACTTGACAATCACCTATCTTTTAAAAACTTCATGTATAAGAACATTTCACTGTTTAATTAATTAACAGTATGCTTAAATACGTTTGGAATGTAATGCAAATATATTTTTAGAATGCAATCTGCTGTATTACCGTTATTCTCTTGTAGATACTGCTGTACGAGATCAGGTTGCTCATCTTCATTCACGGGTGGAATTACTTTCTCTAAATTCAAAGGCGGCAGAGATCTTTTCGATTGTTGCAACATTTGTAAATTCTAAAATAATATACAAATATATTCATTAATCTTTGTAATACATCGATTTGCCAATGCAAATCTACAATAGCTGTAAAAATGTTCATATTTGATATAATTTTAATAATATTTCATAATTCCAGATTATTTCTCGCAAAGATTTTCCGCAAAAAGAAATATACAAAAATTATAAAAAATAATTTAAAAACACATTATATTCTGAAAAATTAGGAATATAAATTTATAACTTCTATGAAATATTTTATTAATACCTTTTTACTGAGCGGTGAAGCAGGTGTCTCAATGTTTTTCTTAGGTACTGCATCTTTTGCTTCAAACAAAAAGAGTTCTTCTGATGCAGGCCGTTTTAATTTCATACTCTCCTCCAGCCATTCTACATTCAATATGTAAGGACTGCCCAAAATAAAATGTATATGATAAAATAGAAATGTTTTAAAAAATTTAGAATATGAAAACAAAAAGGTAACATGTAATAACTAATATCTTATACATTTATGCAGCATTTATATAGATTGTACACGATATATGATCAACTTTTAGTCAAACTCTCTCTCTCTTGAAGTAAAAATTCTTATTCTTATTAAGAACAAAGTTTTTTTTAAAAGAATATCCACTTTTTAATTATGAGCAATTATATAATGTTTTATCGCAAATTGGGAGCCAAATAAATTGTAAATCTTATTTATCTGATATTACTGTACCATAAACCTTCCGATTTTATCGCTTTTAGTTCTGCGAATGCTTTACTCTCGTCTCCAACAATCACGTGCGTCACAGCACCCGATATATCATCGAATCGTGTTGCACCGCCAACATTTAATATTTTGTTCAATCTATCTCTGACACTTGTTACAAATCCAGCAAGATAAATCTGCAAAGACGAAATGATAATCGCAAATTTGAAATCAAAAGAAAAGAAAGCGCAACATACTACGGATAGTATAAGAAAGATTTACATTACATCCGTCCAGAAACGGTCCAGCTGATTTTGCTTCGCCGAAAGTGAGTCGATCTAATACGTTTAACTTAGAGGCTATACAAAAGAAAATATAAATGTTTTTTTTACTTAAAATCGCAATTACAATATATATTAATTAATACTTACTAGTTGAGAGTTTACTAGTTATTGCATCTATATTGGAATAATTTGATATCGTTGAACAAAAACTCTCACTTATATAATTAGTGTGACGTCTATCGTGTGTTATAGAGCTAATGTTAGAACAGTTGAGCAATTCTTGAGCTAAAAAAATACGTAAAAAATGCTATTTATTCTGCGATTCATTCAATTTTATCATTCTATTCAATTTTATCATTATAAAACAATTAATACAACTGCTTATGCTGTCAAAATCATAACTTCCTGTTATTATCATCGAATTTAAATGTACTAGAATATTACAAGCACGCGCTGTCTTCAAGTTAATGTCTCCAGCTACAAATGGTAAAATACAGTTAAATTATGTGAAGAATTTTTGAATATAATTGATCAATTTCTAGTTTGTCATACAACATTATGTCTATAATACGGATAAAAGACGTCTTGTAGGCGTCTTAAAGATTACTTTAAGACATCTTAGACTGGATTCAGACCTTGACAGAAAAACAAAAAGCAGAAAAGCAGCAGTCAATCAAAACTTGTGCTGGTAGTAAGCAGCACAGACAGTCGAAACTGGCCGAAACCAGCGACTATCAGCGTAAGTTCTGATTGGCTGCCGTTTTTCTGCTTTCTGTTTTTCTGTCTAGGACTGAACCTACTCTTATAATCTCGTTGTAAATCTGTATTTTACCGAAATTGGTGGACTTTAAACATTTCCATCCGCCATATTGATTCAGTCATTTTTATTTTCAAGTTTTGTATTTGAATTTGAAATTAGTAGCACTTGTATTCCTTTAACTACATTTCGTAATTTTCTAAATTGAAAGACTTATCATTTCAGTCTCCTATTTTATATTTTCAAATTTTGTGCCTGATTCGGAATCAGCGACTCCTAAAATCCCTAATTACTTCATTTTAACGGAATCAAGGATTTTGCCGTAATCGGAAAACATGTAACATTTCCGTCCGTCATATTGTTTCTGTCATTTTTTCTTTTCCAAATTTTGGATCTAAATTGGCTATCCACCTGACATACACATCTCAAAGGAACCTTTACAATGAGTTAATGTTCTTGGCTGATGAGATAAAACATCAAAAGCAAGTATCAACATTTTTTTGTGCTAAACTATATTGAATCAAAACTTTAATTTTCATTTTTTTTTTATTTAGAACTATTTCAAACTATAAAAGAAAATTACCATGGAGCTGTATCACAATTAGAGAACATTCCTTCAATTTTCACATCAAGTTCCCCATTACTTCATCATCGAGTTTGCAAAATAAAGAATTGCCACTCATTTTATCTAAATGTTTATAAATTTTCTAAATATTTCACTTTTATTTTCTATACATGAGATTCAAATAGAGTTGAAAAATTTGCTTTTTTTTATATTTTTGAAATTTTAGATATCAACAAATCTTCAAATATATTTGATAATGAGACTTGGGGCCGAGTGGCTCACCGCTCAGTGCGATTGTCTCGCGATCTGTGGATCCGGGTTTGATCCCACCTGCGTCTCATACACGCGATTTTTCGCGTTCGCCGTTCGGATTCGGCGTTAAACTGTAGATTCCCTCGAATGTTGACAAACTCTATAGAGTGAAATCCTACTATTACCAAATTGAAAAAAACATAAGCAAGCTTCTGTTCCAGAAGAGACTATAAAGCAAATTGATACGCATGGTACTATGATCCTTAAGGGGTCGGAAAACCAAACAGGGGAAACAGAAGAAGATAATGAAAGGCAACGAGCCAATTATACTGTAAGATATTTAATAATCGCACATATACAAACGTTTCGACACCGATGGGGTCATTTTCAATGTAAAATAACAAAACATTATTACATAATAATTGTTAATATGGCTCAATTAGAATAAATCAATAAATAAAAGAAGGGCAACGAGCCAATTATACTGTAAGATATTTAATAATCGCACATATACAAACGTTTCGACACCGATGGGGTCATTTTCAATGTAAAACAACAAACACTCTTACATAAATTATCGGAAAATTCAGTCAAATTATTATGTCCAGTAAAAAGTTCGGTTGTATTCATAAAATGTGGTCCATATGTAAAAATATCAAAGAAGATCTCATCTCACTTTTCATAATTCTTATATTGTCTTAATGATGGAAGATAGACGTCGAGAAGAAAACGCAATTAACAAAGTTATATTTAATAAAAAGTAAGCCATAATACAATTGGATGTAACATTTATACTCGACGATGTCAAGCGACGTTATGATATTAATTGCGTTTTCTTCTCGGCGTCTATCTTACATCATTAAGACAATATAAGAATTATGAAAAGTGAGATGAGATCTCCTTTGATATTTTTACATATGGACTGCATTTTATGAATACAACTGAACTTTTTACTGGACATAATAATTTGACTGAATTTTCCGATAATTTATGTAAGAGTGTTTGGTGTTTTACATTGAAAATGACCCGATCGGTGTCGAAACGTTTGTATATATACGATTATTAAATATCTTACAGTATAATTGGCTCGTTGCCCTTCTTTTATTTATTATTACATAAATTATCGGAAATTTTCGGTCACATTATAATGTCCAGTATGCGGTCCATATTTCAAATATCTTAAAGGTGATCTCATCTCACTTTTTACAATTCTACATTTTATTTATTGATTTATTCTAATTGAGCCACATTAACAATTATTTTATATACACGGGCGAGACGATGCGTTACAATGTAGAATTGTGAAAAGTGAGATGAGATCACCTTTAAGAGATTTTAAATATGGACCGCATACTGGACATTATAATGTGACCGAAAATTTCCGATAATTTATGTAATGTTTTGTTGTTTTACATTGAAAATGACCCGATCGGTGTCGAAACGTTTGTTATGTACGATTATTAAATATCTTACATATAATTGGCTCATTGCCCTTCTTTTATTTATTGATTTATTCTAATTGAGCCACATTAACAATTAAGATAATGAGACTTCTTCAATTATGTATACGTACTGTTTGATTTTTCCGGTGTTGAACATGCTTTTACAGATTGGATAATAAAGTTATGGAAAGGTAGAGCGTATCCTATTTTAATACTTTCGTATACCCAATCAAGTGTCAAACAAGCTATGTCATTTTCCATTGCATACTTTAGTTTATCACTCAATGGACCATTTTTGGTAGCTAGAACCACACGAACCTTCGTTCCATCAAGAGGACCCATGAATATCTGCAAAACATAAATATAACATTACAGTCAACTGCTACATTTTTTACTACTATTATATATACAGGGTGTTTCCAAATTAAATCGCAAAACTTCGGGAGCGTGTAGAGGAGTAAAAAACTAAGAAAAAAAGTCCTATAGACATATGCTCGTTTTTGCTCCGTTTCAGAGAAATCGAAAAAAAATGTTTACATTTCTTGCCATATCTAGCACCGACATATTTGATTACATTTTCCACTTTCTGTTATGAATTTGTCAGTCGCTCTTTGAAAGCCTTTAACAGTAGATGAATTTTGTCTTTTGCAATATGCCGCGTACGTATTCTAATAGTGAATATGCTGATATGGTTTTTGTATACGGTTTCTGCAACGGTAATGCTTTAAAGGCGGTGCGAGAATATGCACGACGATTTCCAAACAGAAGAGTGCCAAACCGAAGAGTGTTTATGTTGACATTTAATAGATTGCGAGAGACTGGAACATTTTCAATTCGACAAGAAAACAACCGATTTCAAGCAGCGTTACGAAGAGATTTGCAGGCAGGGAATCGTATTTTACAACATTTTGACAATCATCCTGAGACCAGCGTTCGGAATGCGTCGGCTGTATTGGGAGTGTCACCACAAACAATTTGGCGAACTGTAAAAGGAGATAATCGCTATCCCTACCACATTCAAAAAGTGCAAAATTTATTACCTCAAGATCATTGGAACAGATTGAACTTTTGTAACTGGTACCTTCAGACATGCCACAATGATATTTTATTTCCATCTAAAATAATGTGGTCAGATGAGGTCACATTTACCAGAGGTGGAATAATTAATCAAAGGAATTATCATATATGGGCTCATCAAAATCCCAGGTCTGTTAGAGAATACAAATTTCAGCAAGAGTTTTCTGTTAATGTCTGGCTTGGAATTTGGAACGACGTTTTAGTGGGACCGTTTTTTTTACCTGCAAGATTAAATGGGGACCGTTTTCTAAATTTCTTGGAGAATGAATTTTCTGACTATTTAGAAAACATCCCATTACAACAACGTACTGAAATGTGGTTTCAATTAGATGGATGCCCTGCTCATTACAGCAGAGTCGCTAGAACCTGGTTAGATAGAAAATTCCCACAACGATGGATTGGACGTGGAGGAGCAGTACATTGGGCAACTCGTTCGCCCGACTTAACGCCATTAGATTTCTATGCATGGGGTACTCTGAAGCAAGAAGTTTATTCTTCGCCTATTCAATCAGAGCAACATTTGAGAAATCGTATCGTAGCTGCAGCGAACAGAATATCGCAAGAACAGTGCCTGGCTGCTACAAGAGCCGTGTTTGACAGATGCAATGCTTGTATTGCTGCAAGAGGTGCACATTTCGAACAAAATCTTCATTAAAAAGTTTATAAATAAAATAATTAAAATAATAAATTAAATATATTTTTTTCTTTTTTCGTGATTTCCTGCGAAACAAAGCAAAAAGGAGCATATGTCTATAGGACTTTTTTTCTTAGTTTTTTACTCCTCTACACGCTCCCGAAGTTTTGCCATTTAATTTGGAAACACCCTGTATATTACATAAAATTTAACTCACTCCTCCATGTTGATGAATCAAACGTTTAATTTCTTCCTTTTGACGTCTTTGAATATTTGTCGAAGTAACTATTAGATTCATAAAAACTGGACATTTGTATTTATCAAAAATCTTATCATCAGCCTTAATAATCTCCTTCAAATTTGCTTTCCACACAGCTTCTATCCATTCTTTCGTCATAATTGGTATTTCCATTTCTATAGCTCTCTATAAATAGAATTTTTAATAAATTAAATTACTACTGCATTGTGTTATTATCACAAAATAATGATTTAAATAAATATAGAATAAGATAGAATTTTAGTAATTTCATAAAATATAATTTTAATTTTATACAATAAAATTTTATACAATAAGATTCTCAATATTTCCAATAAAACAATTTAAAAATCAATTATATTATAAATGTAATCATACCTCATACTTTGCAGACATTACAGAATCCGCTATTAAATGTGTGACAGAACCTCTTAATTGCTTTGTGAAGAAGCCTCCCATATATTCAACTCGTTGTTGTATCCAGTCCTGTAATAGCAATCAAAACTATCACCGTTACAAATTAAAGTTTATACACACAAAATTGCCAGATAGTCGTACCTTAGTTTCTGTATTAAAGCCTGATGTACAAATGCACATTTTTCTCATGGATGTTGTATAAATTGGGCTCCTTCCTTCTGGTATTGATTCTCCATTTAGAAAACAAATTAGCAGACATTTCGGTGATACTATTCTACTAAAATATAAATTTGTAATTATAAATTTCTTCACCCAGCTATTTTTAATTACAATCATGACAAGATATATATCTGTTGCTATATAAATATTAATTAATAATTTATGTTTTAAACCAAAAACTTATTTATAACAAAAAACCTAAGTAGAACAAATAATGTCATTATAATAGGAACTTTTAAGTCAACATGAACTTATAAGTGACAAACAAAATCATGATGAGACAACCTTAATATTATTATGACTTATGTGTTTATGACTTCTGTGCCTAGGTAGTTGGCTTGCAACTTACGAGCATTTAAAGTTCTTCAGTTTTTCAAACACTTCTCCTTTAAATTCCTCTATAACAAATACATCGTTTTTCTGTGGTTTCATATTATAGCAAAACTGTTCACTAACCCATTCTGGACGCAAACTAAGCTCATTGCATTTCTAGAATAAAACAGATTTTTTGAAACCAATAAGAGACAAAGGATGTGATCAAGAAAAGCAAAAGTATTGGAAAACGCAAAATCGTCTCCGTATCTTCCGCGTGTCAACTTGCAATACTGCTTGAAAAAATGGAGAAAAAACATAACTGTAGCAAAGTAGGAAAAGGTACGAACGTTAAATGCCTGCCACGTTTTCTCGCTGCAATCATCTTCGGATTCCAGGTGACTCGGTACGATGAAGTAAATATTTACGTCGCACTCAATTGTGCTTTCCTGGGTCGTCATCCTGCTTCAAACTGAAATCACTGAAATCAACTGAAATCGTATGGCCTGAGTCGTCACTCGTCGTCCATGTGCATATCTCATGTACGACAAACAAATGAGAGCAGCTGGAATATTAGCGGGAAGAATGAATATTTGGACTACACCAACCTATCAACTATGGGAAAAATTTACTAGACAATCAACACGCTCGTATGGTAACTTCGGCTGAGTTTTCAACAAATGCTTATTACAACAAAATTTTTTAATGCATAATTCGTTGTCTCTAGCTTAGAAATTAATATATTAAGATATTAAAAGAAAATAAAGAATTAAAATAATACATTATTGTAGATACATTAAACTCAATTTCGAAATTAGCTTGACAATCAAAATGTAATCTAAAAGTTAATCAAAATTTCCTCCATATTTTTTAATTAATTCAACCAACAGAACTACTGCTTTTGTTAACAAAATTATGAACTATTTATTATCTTTATTATCTAATCTAGTTTCTGTTTCCATTTATTGAACAACGAAAAATTAATAATTATACTCGTATTATATAACAAAATGGCTGCGTTCAGCAGAACGTTTGTTTTGCAACTGTTGGAAGTTTCCTTCGCGCTAATTGGATCATACTTTTAGATCTAGAAGAATGATCCTATCTCAGTAGACAATGGCTGCGTTCAGCAGAACGGTTGTTTTGCAACTGTTGGAAGTTTCCTTCGCGCTAATTGGATCATACTTTTAGATCTAGAAGAATGGTCCTATCTCAGCAGACAATCATAAAACGGTTGCAAAACTGTTGAGTCTGCTGAACGCAGTCAATCATAAAACGGTTGTAAAACTGTTGAGTCTGCTGAACGCAGCCTATGATTTGCATAAGCAGCATAAGTTGGTCACAGTTTGACCGAAGTCGCCCTGAAGTACATTTCAGAAATGCTTTTGGAACGCAACGATAAAAGTCACGCACTTGCGCAGTGAATGATTAACGACCGTTTTTACGAAGTTTCGGCAATTTCGTTGAGAATATTTTATATTCTTTTAAATCGAAGAATTTTCGAAAAATCAAAAAAAATTTTGATATTTTAAAATTCATTCTAAATATTTTTTCTTTACAAACTCAACATATTTTTAGTTGTAATGAAAGAGCAATATTCATTTATTTTCATTTTAAACATGAGAGACACATAGCTAAGGGGTGCTTTCCAGCAAGGACACAGTCAGACACCGTGTAAGACCGGAATCAGACTACGCATTGAAGATTGAGGTTGAAGATTGAAGATTGAAGATTGAAGAAAAAGAAACTTTAGCTCCTTTCGTTTCGATTGGTCAAATTTGAATTTTTCAATCTTCAATCTCAAATGCGTAGTCTGATTCCGGCCTAATGTCACATTAGGCCGTAAGCAAATCGGCCAATCACAGTCGAGCGTTTTTAAACGCGAAATCGTAATTTTGATTGTGATTGATCGATTTACTTGCGAACTTAAGCCCATTCTACAATTGTGTAAGCGTAGTTGTAAGTGGTTGTAGTTGTAAGAATTAACCTATCACAGTGGTGAATTCGGAATGGGCTAACCATTCCGAATTTTGTGGGACGTTCTGATTTTTAATTCTCTATAAACACGTCTCTATGATTAGCATAGGTAACCACAACAAACAATGCTTATTCATCCATCATAAATGGGTCACGTGACCAAACTCGATGTTTTATTGGCTTGGATCACGATTACGGATCGCAAAAATAGAGAGCCGTCTATCTGCAATCTACAATCCGGATCCGAAATTGCCTTGTCTTGATTGGCTGAATTCCGATCCGCGATCCGCAATCCCAATCCGATCCGCGTCCACAATCCGTAGTGTGACACGGGCATTACACAGTGACTGACTGTGGCTGCGGTCCACTCGACGCTACAAACGCTTCGAAGCGTTTGAGAGACCAATCAAAACAAAGAATTTTACGAATTAACTAATCAAAGAATGCTTCGAAGCGTTTGTAGCGTCAAGTGGACCGCAGCCTAAAGCCCAGTGTCCACGATGCTAGAAATCCGTCCGAGATCTCGGATGAAGAAAGAATTGACCAATCGCATTGATCATGTGACTAAATTGTTTAAATGTAATTGGTTAATTCTTTCTCTCTCCGAGATCTCGGAGCAATTTCTAGCATCGTGGACACAAGGCTTAAGTCCTTGCTTGAAAGCATCCAAGATGATTACCTACCACGAAAGCTTTTTTAATTTAAAAAGGAGTTTCACAAATTGCTACGATCACAATCGCATTGTATCGAATATGCATTTTTACAAAATTGCAGATAGTTAATTTTTGTCAATGTTACATGTGAAGTTAGCTTCCCAACATTAAAAAAAATAAACTTTGTAGTTTACCCGCGATTGCTTATCATTTGCACGTGTATGCACACTCAGGCTTTTCATTTCACATATATGGGCACAATTTTAATAAAGAAAAGTCTCTTTTTTTAAGGACAATTGCAAGTAGCAATTAGGTTACGCTTTAATAACACCTTATTGACGCTAAAGACATCGTTTAACGTGACCTTGCTACTTGGGAATTAACTTAAACGCTTTATACTCAAGCAGCAAAATCGTTAAGACAAAATCTCTAATATATATTGTTCTTAATTTTTTTCAATACATTAAACAGACCTTTAATAATTAATTCAATGGTTTTGTTCGTATTGCTTAATAAAATGTTGATTAAATTAATCGAAGCTGATTGAAAGAAAAGTCGGTCTTAATTTTATTCCTTCCTTTTTCCAGCGGCATTCAACAAGTGGCACACCGCAAGAATCGGCGGGAACTCGAAATTCCCTAGCCACGGCAGCGTCTGATTGGCCGGTATTGCGCTATGCGGCGCGACCCCGTTCGCTCGCCGATGCGTTGTCGAACGCGGCCGAGCGAGAGCGCGAGCGAATACTCGGCGACGATTGGCCGGTCAGTAGCGCCTGCGGCGGGCATGCGCGTGCATGTGATTTCAAGTTGACGTTCCTCGCTTGTCGTGCGAACGCGTTTGCCGAGCGAGCGACGCGGGGCGAGCGCGTCGATTGCAACGGAACTTGGACCAACTTGGACGGCGCCTCGAGGTCGGTCCGACTCTCGTCGCGATAAGTGGGAGACGATCGCGATCGAAGTATTTCCTCCGCGTTCCTCGACGTCTGGTCCGACATCCCCCGCGAACTTCTCCGCGCGAGAGTGGATTTTAACAACGGTGTTGTGTATACCTTCACCAGGTGTTGCCAGGTGTTACCAGGTGAACGTGCGCGAACGTCCGCGTCGCCTTCGCGTTTACCTTCTCTCCCGCGGGGAGGAAGACCGTGGATGACGAGGAAGAATTCATCGTCGTACGTACTTTTTATCGTTGATACCGCGGAGATTACCGCGTGTGCGTTTTACGCGAGACTTCCGCGGCGAGTTCAAACGCGTCGCGTCGTCGAGTGAGAAGCGAGAGTGAAAACTGAACGCGGTTGACTACGTCTCGGCCGAGTCTGCGATCGTCGATTGAACGACGGTTTTATATTTGATTTACAATCAAAAGCGAACGGGAACGACGGAGAAGACGATCGATTTCGATCGATACGGATCCCTCCCATCAATTCCTGCGGATTCCCTCACGGACGTCAGTTCTCGCGTGGAAGAGAGAAGAGCGTGGGAAGAAGCGAGAGAGGGAGAAGAAAGGCACGAGATCGCGAGGAGCGAGGCAGCGAGCTCGTCTTTAAAGAGAAACACGAAGTGTCGACTCGGTGAACGAGCGATCCGAACAAAATACATTCGCGGAGATACGATTTTCATTAACGCGTTCGCCTCGATTACACCTTTTGCATCCCGGATCTTGCGAAGTGAGGACGCGAGTCCAACTATCTTTTGAGTGCAATTCTTCTTAAATTCCCTCGATAGAAGGACTAAAAAGTATCTCTATCTCTCAGTGGAGGCTTGACATTTGAGATTTTTAAGATCATTGGATTTTTATGGTACTGTGACCTGCCTTTGGGAACCAGAAATCAACATTGGAAAAAAGAGAAGAAGAAGAAGAAGAAGAAGAAAGACTAACTCCAATTCTAGTAATTGAAGGCTTACTCTAGCGGCTAATATCCAGCGATAGTGGAGCTTAAGAACCTTCTTGAGCGCACGTTTGTACGCTTCGCGCCTCCTTCGAACGTGATCGAGAGGGAACGGAGGGAGTGAAACAGCATCGCGGCGAGCATCGCGGAATGCGAGTCGCGGTCGCGAGTGTGCGTGTGACGGGGACGCGGCGCGAATCGGCGCGATTGGCGTAGCCCGCACGCTTCCGGAGCCTTTTACGTGCGGCACGGCGCGGCACGGCGCGGCGCGGGCGGCTGCGAGCGGCTGCGAGCGAAGAAGGCAGGTTACGACGGTGGAGAAGAAGGCGACGGACGAAGACGTGGAGGGGGAGAAGGGGAGCTAGGGAGTGAGGTCAACGTCGCGCAACGGCGAGGCAAGAGGATGGAGCAGCGGCCGGCGGCGGCCTCCGCGAGGACGCGCGGCCTTCTCGCCGGTGTCTGCCTCGTCTGGATCATCGGCGGCATCTGCGCCACCGGTAAATCGCGAGTTTTCATTATACTCTCTAAATTCTTTGCAGTCGAATCTCATTCTAAGGAGTAAAACTTGAGTCTGCATGAAGTCTTTGAAAAGAATGGCTCAGTTTTCAATCGTTTATGCTCGTTTCCACCAATGTAGTTTAATTTTAATCTCGGTTTAACTTACTTTTCATCTTTTTCTAGTTTTAAGAATTAGAATAAAGTTAATTTGTATTGGTAAAAATAAGAATCAGATTTCACTCTTCAAAATGAGATTCAGTGTAAGTTTTAGAGAGCACAATATTTTATTTTATTTTATTACATGCTTGCGATAATAAGAATTTTACCGTAACAGGTATAAAACTCGCTGAACAGATAACTTTAACCTACTTGGCGATTAATTCTTATCGCTAATTTGTGTTATTTTATTAGCACGGATAGAAACATCTATTTTGTCGTTTAACATATAGGAAGAATGATTAGATTAAGACATGAATTATATAATCACAGAAATATATAATTATATAATTACAGAAATATTGCAAGAAAGCAATTTTCACTTAATCACCGGTTAAGTTAATCGAAGTTTAGTCGGAGTCATCTATTACTCGTTTCTACCAATGTAGATTGACTTTAATTTCGGTCCAGCTTGCTCTTCATCTTTTTCTACAATAATTCTTAGAATCAGAAAAAGATAAAAAGTGAGTTAAACCGAGATTAAAATTAATTTACGTTGATAGAAATAGACATAACGTCTCTTTTAACCAATACAAATTTATCTTTCTCTAATATTAATATCGATTTAATTTACTCTTTATTCTTTGTCTAATTTTCAGATTAGGAAAAAATTAGATCAAGTAAATTCAGATCAAGTAAGTTAAATCGAGATTAAAGTTAATGTATTATACAATGGTAAAAATGGATTATTTCGCAACTAAAAAACTGTCGGAAGAATCTAGGCGCCGAATAATTTTGCGAATTCTACGTGAAATGTTGTCTACAACGATCTTCGAATGTTTTCATTCAAACACGGAAAAAGAATATTGAAAAGAGGGCAAAGGGAGAGGAGAAAAGAAAATCCACAACTGAGGTCAATGAATTAATTTGAACATCGAGCATCCATCATGTTAGATAGATTTCGAGAGATTCTCAAGTGGCGTACGCGCGATGGTACTACGATATATGTAAATATAATCGGTAGTTAATAAAAAAAAAGGAAAAAATGAAAGAAGGATAGAGAATTTTATCTACTTTTTTAGTAGTTTACTCGCAATGTTCTATCTGAGATTTATTAATCAAGAAACCCAAAGAAACACAAAGGATCGATGTTAGAAGAGATCAAAGAGCAACTTCGAGAAATCTGTGTAACTCGAATAATTTTATCTGGAGACACGGTAATGTCTCGGCGCTAAGCCAATTAGCGCAGCGACATTAAATCTCTACGTGAAAATTTCAAAATTATTTGATGTTTATTTATTGAGGAAAGGAATTTTAAATGACACAGTTAAATAAAAGAGAATAAGGTATTATTAACCGCGATGATTAACGTTATTAAACTGAACGATGCGGTTTAATTTATTTTAACTAGCTATCTGTTTATCTGGTGAAGAGGGATGATATTTGCTAAAAGGGATCGAGATTTATGTATGGAAAGATAATTTAGCTTACGTAAATGCATGAATAACTGTATGCAAACGCGTCGCACGCGCCTCGTACGGTGATTACTTCTCAATAAATGCCGTCCCGCGGCATTCGTTCGAAACCCCTAGCGGATCGTACACGCCAGGGGGAAAAATCTGCGAGATCTTCCCCAGGGCGGTCAAGTGTGCGGCGTAGGAGCGACCCTAATTGAGATTTATTACGACGTTAATCCAGACCAATTGTGCGAACGAAGTTAAACCATTGACCTCTCGTCCCATTTGCAGGGAGATGGCAGGGGGAGACCCAATGGCCATGAGCACGTGCCGCGCATGGGGACAATTCCAAATTAACCCTTTCTATTCATTTTTTACGTTTCCTCTTGCGTTTAGTATGACAGAAGTGTGTGAACAAAAAGTCAAACGTGTGAATGCAAAATATATTTCCCCGACGAACATTGAACATGTCGTGTATCTACCATATGGTGTATCTATATGGCAATTCGAACATAGATTTTAAAGAAAAATGGCAAACTAATGCTAGTTAGTTAATATTAAGTAAAAATGGATCGAGAGAAAATTTTATAAATGAATGAAAGGGTCAGAGGTCTTAGTGCCAAAAATAAAATTTTTGTATAAATTTTTGAACTGGAAATTGTATAAATCTACTAGAAATATTATTAGACAGGAAAAATGAACTCTGAATATGGCATTTTTCACTCACGTGAATTTTTACAATTTCTAGTTTAAGCGTACTGATTATATTCGTCGGTCTTAAAACAATACTAGACTAGTTGTGTAATCACAAATTAAATTGACGAGTAATTTAGTGTTACTGATGCTAATGAGCATCTTTAAAATACTATTTATGTTATATTATTCGATTTGAAACACAGTCCTAGACTGAAGCTGCAAGAATATTACAAATTAAATTGACAATTTAATGTTATTGATGCTAATGAACACATTTAAAACACTGTAAAGGATTTATTGCGAAAAATATTGCTAGCCAGAATTCGAACTTGGATCTTTCTCATTCCATGCGGGCGTCTTGAAGAAAAAAGTTTGAATCCCGTCTGAGATAATATTTTTTGTAATAAATTCTTTACAGATGTTTTAAATATACTCATTAACATCAGTAATATTAAATTGTTTGTCAATTTAACTTGCGACATTTTCATTCCAGCTTCAATCTAGGACTGTTTCGAGTCAAATAATCGGAGTTTGCTTGAACTGGGCGTTGTAAAAATTCACACAAAAGTGTTATTAGGTACTAAGACCCGCCTTAAATATCCTTTTTTATCTCATATATTCATTTATATCTACTAATAGTTAACTATTCCGATTTTATTACGAAAAAGGAACAAATAAAACTTAATTGTTCCCGTCTGTGAATAATTAACTTTATCTCCGAATCTTCGGACATTCGGTCAATTCCAAAAATAGATTTCCGTTTTTAAATACATGGAACTTAAACCTCTATTTCAAATCATTCGAACAATTCGGCGCGCAGTTGAAGCGTATCTTTTCTTTCCAGTCTTAACTCAAAGGTCACCGTTTTAATTTTTCTAGAGAAGGTACAAGAGAAAGAAAAAAAAAATCAAACAATCTTGCTTTTCATTTCGCTTCTGCCACGCGCAACTTCGTAATGAGGACAGGCCCCCCCATTGATTAAATTTCCTTTGGACAACGTCGAGCATTGATACCAGCAGACTGGCAGATAAAGGGAGATAAGAGCCACGAGGAAAGGGATCTCATACTTTTCTACCAAATCGCGCGTTTCTATTTTTTTCCATAAAAATCGAGCGATAACTTTCCATTAGAGAAACTGTCTACTCAACAGCAGTGGCAGTTATACATATAGGAAGCAAAATATCTGTTATTAGATTTAGCAGATGGCTACAAATAATAATAATAATCTTAGGTGCGCATAAATTAAAATTTATAGGACAGATTTCCTTTTGTCGTAAAACATTGAAATATTATAACCATCTTCAACAGCGTAATAACAGTGTAATGATATAAGAAAATAAGAAAAAAGATGAAATAAGACGTTATATTGGTTGCCATGCCATCGCGCTATCGTTATCTGCTGGTAGGCTTCGTGGAAGAAAATGAGAGCCGGTTTGCCGCACGTTTGGCCGATATAAAAAGGGCTTGCGTTTTAACCTGCGTGTGGAAGACAGAGAACATTAGTAGTAGTAACCGTATACACGTACGCGTGTGCATGTACTAGGAAAGGTATCTATCACTGGCGTCAGCTCTACCGTGGCACAATGGAGAACAAGGGCCTTTACCTGGTTCTCGACAAGTCCCTCTGCTCCCTCGCTCATAGAATAGCTCCCACCATTTTCTATAGCCTTCTACTTACTTCATCGAGCGAGTGTACTTTTCTTCGACTAGGTAGGACTATCGAGTGCGAATCCGGGAAGAAAGACTTCCTGGATTAGTCATTCATAAAACCGACGCGTTTCAAAAAGGGCTTAAAAAGCAAGAGATCATTTATTTATCTGCGAATATTTTAGTCTTTTTAAATTGATTTTTTCTTAGCAAAAATGTCGAAAAAAGGTCACCATTTTAAGTCTACGATATATATTTTTTCTGAATGGCTGTTTTAATAAATTACTAGAAATCCTACGTTCTGTGTAGTGCAAATCTAGTAATTTACTTTTATATCACACATACACATAATTTTCCAATTTTTAATATTATCTATCTTTGCAAATAAATCCTCGAACTAAAATTCCATTGAAATAAAAGAACCGAAAATGTTTCTCTTGCTGGAGCTTAGTTTTCGAACAGTCGTGCATTTTTCAATTGTTTAAGTATATCCCGAAGAACGTTATAAAGGCTTTTTTTACAAAGGAAAAATCATCTTAAACTCGATGAAATAATTCTCCAGTTTGAAAGGAATGCGTTTTGCATTAGAGAGATGCTCTGTACAATATTTTTATTGCAGCATAGTTGAGTGTAACGATGGTACATCATCGGCACGACGGACGCAACGATTTCTGCGAGTTGCGACAGCAAAAACTCGGCAAATGACAGAGACCGTCGTTTGCGGCCTTTACCGGTCCCGAGTGGCCTTAGGCCGTTATCCTCTCGGACCCCTGAGCCGCCGCGCCGTTCCGAGCGACCGGATGTGTCGGTCACCTTTTGCTTTTATTGTTCTGTGACCGCGTCATCTTCATTACCGTCATTTTCCTGTCCTTCATGCCGCGGAATCCTCGCCACGTTTCGTACCGCCCGTCTCCTTTCTCATTGAAGCCTAATCGGTTTTCTCCATTTTTCTTCCTATCCTTGAAATCCTTTTTGCCGATTGAAACGTATTGGAGCATCAAGCTTTCTTACCAGAATATCAGAATGTAATAGCAGACAGAAAA